CTTTCTTTCTTTCTTTCTTTCTTTCTTTCTTTCTTTCTTTCTTTCTTTCTTTCTTTCTTTCTTTCTTTCTTTCTTTCTCTTTTAAATCCATTGGTCTTCTTCTCTTCATTTTCCTTGCTTGCTTCCATGGTTCTTTCCTTCCCTACCTCCATATCTCTCTCCTTCCTTCCTTCCTTCCTCTCTCCCCCCCCCCCCCCTCCCTTTTTCCTTCCTTCCTTCCTTCCTCTCCCCCCTCCCCTCCCCTCCTTTTTTCCTCCCTCCCTCCCTCCTACTCTCCCCTCTTCTTCTTCCTTCCTGTCTACTTTTCTTCCTCCCCTCCTCCCTTCCTTTCTCTTCTCCCTCCACCCTCCCACTCTCCCCTTTTCTCCTTTCTTCCTATCTATTCTCCTTCTTCCCCCTCTTCCTTCCTTCCTTTCTTCCTCTCCTCTCTTCTTCTCCCTCCCTCCTCCTTTACTCCTCTCTCTTCTTCTTCCTTCCTGTCTTTCCTCCCTCCCTCCCTCCTTTCCTCTTCTCCCTTCTTCCTTCCTCTCTTTTCCTCCCTCCCTCCTTTCTTCTCCTCCTCCTTTCCTCTTCTCCTTCCTTCTGTACTTTCCTCCCTCCTTCCTTCCTTCCTTCCTTCCTTCCTTCCTTCCTTCCTCCCTCCCTCCCTCCCTCCCTCTCTCCTTCCCTTCCCTTATCCATCCATCCATCCTCTCTGTTTATCTCCTTTCTCTCTTGCCTAAGTGAAATCCTCCCCACCAATCTCTGAATCCCATCGGTCCATTTTTGCATTTCTCCCCTTCCCCGCTTTCTCCCTTCCCCCGCCCCTTCCACAGTTTTCCCCACCAGCCCATTAATCCTCCTTTCCAGCCAAACTTAAAACTCCCCATTTCCTTCTCTCCCCTAGGAGAACCTCAACAAACTGATGACCAACCTGCGCTCCACCCATCCTCACTTTGTCCGTTGCATTATCCCCAACGAGACCAAAACCCCAGGTGAGACCTCACCCCTCATCCCACCCTGGAGGGGGGGGGGGGGCATTTATTTACTAGGTCTTCGTGGCGAGCCGTCCACAGCCACCCGTTTTCACCTAACAACTCTGGGTGGCTAATGATACATAAATATAAAGCGAGACACTATCAATAAAGGGAATCCTCAGCTTTCGGCCAGAATTGAGTCCAAGAATGTATGTTGCTAAGTGAGAAAATGCACAGATACCGTATTTCCCCATGTATAAGCCACCCCTTTTTTCCAAAATTTTCAAGCCCAAAAAGTAGAGGGGTGGCATATACAAAGCAGGTACACTTTTTATACGTGAAAAATGCATAAAATAATAAAGTAGGAATAAACTGGTTTTCCAGCAGCATGCTATACTTTTTTGTAAAAATTGTACGTGATGATACGAGTGCGAGTACGCGATAGAAATGCATACGCTAGGCATCGGCCTGAATGCTTCGTTCCTACTCTCGTTCCGATGCGTAGATTGCTAGCGTCGCCCGCACCGCTTTCGGCGTCATGACCGAAGTTGTAGATCTAGACGTCAAATTTTGTTTCTTTGTAAATTTTCTTTCTTCATAACTTGTTTCTCTAATAAAATATTTTTTTCAAAACTTCACAGTCCAAAAATTGGGGGGGGGTGGCTTATACAAAGGGGGTGCTTATACATGGGGAAATACGGTAATAAGTAGTGTGTGTGTGTGTGTGTGTGTTTGTGCTTATGTGTGCGTGTTTTTGCATGTGTGTTTTTGTACATGTGGGTTAGTAAGAAGGATAACTCTAATTTTGTAGCAGATCCTGTGACCTGTAGAAATGCTGTGTGAATCTGAGTTTCCAGTTTGAAGTAAATATGTAATAATATATCTGCTGAATAAAACTCCGCACCTGCAACAGGAAGGGCATCAGGCCAGTAAACACTCAGCTCCATTCAGTAGCCCAGATTCCACTGCACAAGGGATTTATGGGGTCATTAAAAGAAAGAAGCTGGTTGCAGGAATTGGATACGTCAGGGGCGGTCACTCAATTTCATTAAGGGGCGCATCTGGGCTGTGGTTGATCTCAGGAGAGGCGGCAGTCAGTCATGGATGACTCTATCCTGTAAGGGATCATGGGATCATTTTTAAAAAAGATGATGTAATAATAACTACATGTAGTCCTCGGTTTATGACTTCGATTGAGCCCAAAACTTCCTTCGCTCAGTGAGACAACTATTCAGTGAGTTTTGCCCCATGGAGTGGAATAGAATAGAGTATAGAATGTAGAACAGAATAATAATAGAATAGAATGGAATGGAATGGAATGGAATAGAATAGAATAGAATAGAATAGAATAGAATAGAATAGAATAGAATAGAATAGAATAGAATAGAATAGAATAGAAAATATGGAATGGAATAGAACAGAAGAATAGACTAGTCTAGTCTAGACTAGACTAGACTAGACTAGACTAGACTAGACTAGACTAGAATAATAACTTTGAATGTACACTAATTGGCATACATTAAATTGAAATTTCATTGCATTCAGCTCTCGTGTCATCACCTCCAATATACACTACATAATATAACAGAATAAATAAATAAATCCAGAAGTATGCATATCCCCACATATATTAAACGCTGGTTATACTGAACCGGTAATCCTTACGGATGACATCCCGTTAGGAGAGGTCACCTCATCGTCTTCCGATACTTCCTCAGTGAGGACTGGCTTCTTACTTTTGCACATGCCGGCTTTTTCTCCTTCTTCCCCAGGGATGATAGACAATCCTTTGGTCATGCACCAACTGCGTTGTAACGGCGTGTTGGAAGGGATCCGTATCTGCCGGAAAGGATTCCCTAACCGGATCCTCTACGGGGATTTCCGGCAAAGGTAGGGCGGGACTTCAGGAGTTTGGTGGGGGGGGGGGGGCTTGGGGGAAGGATTAAAGGAAGAAAAAACAACAACATCCCTGCCATGACTTTCATTTCTACTTGGAAACCGTTTCTGGATTTTGTGCTCAAGGTGGAGAAAAAAATGAAACTTTGATTTGGGGGGGTTACCGATTAGACAGGTTTGCTGTTACAGAAATGGCTATAGGTAGTCCTCAACTTGCGACCACAGTTGATGTGTTGCAAAGTGAGACATTTGTCAAGTGAATTTTGCCCCATTTTACGACCTTCCATGCCACAGTTGTTAAGCAAATCCCTGCAGCTGTTAAAGTAGGAACACAGTTGTTAAGCGAATCTGGTTTCCCCCCATTGACTTGTCTTGTCCGAAGGTCGCAAAAAAGGGATCAGGTGGCCCAGGGACACTGCAACAGTCATAAATGTGAGTGACTTGAATTTTGATCCCATGACCGTGGGGATGCCGCAACGGTCAAAGTGTGAAGAATGGTCATAAGTCACTTTTTTCAGTGCCACAGGAATTTAAAATGGTCACTAAATGGACTGTTGTAAGTCGAGGACTAGCTGTACTACGTAAAAGTGAAAAGGGGCACATTTCTTATTTACGCTGGCAGAAGTGCTTATTTCTAAAGAGTGATGCGGTGGCGTAGAGATGGAGCCCTCACCTCACAATCAGGAGGCTGTGAGTTCGATCCTAGGTAGAGGCAGATATTTCTGTCTCTGGAAGCAATGAGAATATATCTGCTGAACAAAACTCCGCCTTGGTGACAGGAAGGGCATCTGGCCCGTAAACACTCAGCACCGTTTAATAGCCCAGACTCCATCCCGCAAGGGATTATGGGGTTGTTAAAAGAGCACGATGATGATAAAATGCTTATTTCTTTTAAAAAAAAGTGTTTTCTGAATGAAAAATTCAATATGTTGGTTTGCCAATTATTTAAAAGACTTAAGCTGTCAAATTCAATCAGATCTTCAAGTAGTCCTCTACATATGGAACCAAAACTGTGCCCCAAACTTCCACTGCTAAGCAAAGCAGTTGGTAAGTCAGTTTTGCTTCATTTCACGATATTTTCTGCCACCGTTGTTAAATGAATCATGTGGTCATTAAGCGAATCCGGCTGTCCCCATTGGCTTTACTTTTCAGAAGCCCGTGGGGAAGGTCGCAAACGGTGATCACATGACCATCATAAATATGAATCGGCGGCCAAGTGCACAAATTTTGATCACGTGACCATGTGGATTGTAAGTGCGACCACGGTTGTAAGTGGGAAAATCGGCAGTAAGTCACTTTTTTTCAGGGCCGACGTAACTTTGAATGGTCACTAAATAAATGTTTGTAAGTCGAGTACTCCCTGTATTGGGCACTGGATGAGAAGAGGGACTTACGGCCCTTCCTTGTTTTCCTTTTGAGGTACCGCATCCTAAACCCAGCGGCCATTCCGGAGGGTCAGTTCATCGACAGCCGGAAGGGGGCTGAGAAACTTCTAAGCTCGCTGGACATCGACCATAGCCAGTACAAATTTGGACACACCAAGGTGAGTGGACAATTGAAAGACTCTGCAGCTTGGAAAAGGAGGATGGGCTTCATTCCATGAGCTCCCGTTGGGTGCTAGGAGACAATGGCAGCCATCTTAAGCAGAATCTGAAGAAGAAAATAAGACTTTAGAAAGAATGCCGAGAAGAGCAGCAAAGATAATTCAGGGGCTAGAGGCTAAAATGTACGAAGAAGAATTGCAGGAATTGGGTGAGTGGTGCGGTTTCCTAGAGGTGGAGCTCTCACCTCAAAATCAGGAGCCTGTGAGTTCGATCCTAGGTAGATATTTCCCAGACATTTCTCCCTCTGGGCACAATGAGAATATATCTGCTGGAAAAACAACAACAAAAACCTCCGCACCTGCAACAGGAAGGGCATCCGGCCAGTAAATACTCAGCGTGTGTGTGTGTGTGTGTGTTTGTGCTTATGTGTGCGTGTTTTTGCATGTGTGTTTTTGCACATGTGGGTTAGTAAGAAGGATAACTCTAATTTTGTAGCAGATCCTGTGACCTGTAGAAATGCTGTGTGAATCTGAATTTCCAGTTTGAAGTAAATATGTAATAATATATCTGCTGAATAAAACTCCGCACCTGCAACAGGAAGGGCATCAGGCCAGTAAACACTCAGCTCCATTCGGTTACCCAGATGCCACCGTGCAAGGGATTTATGGGGTCATTAAAAGAAAGAAGATGGCTGCAGGAATTGGATACGTCAGGAGTGGTCACTCAATTTCATTGAGGGCTGCATCTGGGCAGTGCTTGACCTCGGGTGCGGGCAGGCAGGCTTGGCTGACCGTGCGGGTGTGACCAATGCGGTGGGCATGGCCATCTTGACCCCACTCCAAACTGCTGGCATGTTTGCTCTTTGCACTGGGTAGACTGGGCCGAAGCCACGCTGGCCCGAAGTTTCCTTGAGTTTGACACCCCTGGGGTGCACCTCATTTAAGGAAGATGACATGGTAGAGTTACAACATCTGAGGGGCTGCCCCAAAATAAGAAGAGGGGGGTCAACCTGTTCCTGGAAGCCACAGAAGGACAAGAAGCAATGGATGGAAACTCAACAAGGAGAGAAGCAACCTGGAATTAAAAAGAAACTCTCTAACAGTGAGGACAGTGGAACTGCTTGCCACCAGAGGTTGTGGGTGCTCCATCACTGGATGTTTTTGAGAAGAGATTAGACAGCCATTTGTCTGACATGGTATAGGGCTTCCTGCTTGAGCAGGGGGGTTGGACTAGATGATCTCCAAGGTCCCTTCCAACCCCGTTATTCTGTTATTTCTCCTGCTTGGGTGGGAGGTTGGACCGGAGAACCTCCAGCATCCCTTGATTATTCTATTCTGTTGTTCTGTTGTTCTTTTTATTTAGCCATCTCATCACACCAGAAGAAAGTCCGGAATCATATAGGATCTCCTTGCCCTGAGTAGCAGGTTGAACCAGTAATAGGGACCTTAGAGGGTCCCTCTAAGGTCCCTATTACTCAATAGATAAATATCTATGGAGATTCTTCATCATCCAGGTCATGGTTGTTGCAAAGGTGCTTCTTTCAAGAAGCAACTGGACTTTCTGGATTTTTCCTTGAAGATGTTTCGCTTCTTAGCCCAGAAGCTTCATAGGCTCTGACTGGATGGCAGGGAATGGAAGGATCCAGTCAGAGCCGAAGAAGCTTCTTGGATGCAGAGCGAAACGTCTTCAAAGAAAAAACAGAAAGTCCAGTTCTTTCCAGTTGCCCCTTGAAAAAAAAAAGCCTACTAGTCAATGTTGTAAGTTGTATGTTCTTTTTTTAAAACTAAACTTTATTAAACATTAAAAAATATATACATAATACAAAACCTTTCATAAAATACGAAACCAAAAAGTTATACATAACCAATAAACGTAAAAACACAAGCATTTCTAATTGCTTAGACGGTGTGTTTTTAATCAAACAGCTTTCCAATACTTAGTTCCTATATCTGGTATATATTCCTATCATGACCTCTTCTTATTTTTTCCCTTGCCTATCTGTTTACCGACAGATTTCTATCCTTTATCCAATTATATCCGTTTTCCCAAACTGTAAAATATTTTGAGTCTTCCTTATCTTTTAAATTTTGGGTGAGTTTATCCATTTCCGCGCAGTCGTAGATCTTCTGGATTATGAAATTATCTGTTGCCATCTGATCTCCCTTCCAGCACTGAGCAACATTCCAACATCCTTGCTGTGGTTATTCTATGTAAAATTAAATATTTGATTTCTTTTGCAATTTCACCTCTTATTATTCCCAACACACAAAAAATTTCAGCCTTAGGTTCTAGTTGAATGTTCTGTGTTTCTAATCTGCTTCCCTCCAGGTGTTCTTCAAAGCTGGTCTCCTGGGACTGTTGGAGGAAATGAGAGATGAACGTCTCTCCCGGATCATCACTCGCATCCAAGCCCAATCCCGTGGTGTGCTGGCCAGGATAGAATTCAGGAAGATCATGGAACGGAAGTAAGTCCATCGGTGGTCCTTCCTGGTGTGGTTCTTTCCTCTGAAGGAGGTCCTTTTTGGGCGGTTAACTCTCCGCAAAGACCTCCTGTGACTATCCCTGGGTCCCCTCACTCCTCTTGGTTCAAACACAGATCCACTTCTGCTGTTGTGGGCTGGGTTCAGGGGTGGACTTCAAAAATGTTAGCAATCACGCCCAGCTGCTGGGTGGGCATGGCCATAGTGGGTGTGGCCTAATCAGCCTCCTGCACCACGAGGGGGGCATTTTCGCTCTCCCTGAGCTCCGGATGTTTTCCTCGAGCCACTGGGAGGGCGAAAACGGCCTCCCCAGACTCCGGAGGCTTCTAGAACATCTGAGAGGCCTGTTTTTCACCCTTCCAGGCTCCTTTGTGTTTTCTTGAGCCTCCGGGAGGGTGCAAAATGGCCTCCCCAGACTCCTGAGGCTTTCTGGCGGCCAGGCTGGCCTTCTGGAACTTCTCCTGTTTTTCACCCTTCCCGTCTCCATAGTGTTTTCTTGAGCCTTCAGGAGGGTGCAAAATGGCCTCCCCGGGCCCCAGAGGCCCCCTGGAGACTGGAAATGCGGCCATTTCCAGCCTTCTTGAACTTCCAGGAGGCCTGTTTTTTGCCCTCCCGGAGCCTCCATGCAGGCCCTGTACTTACCTGGGATCCAAAATGCGCTGGAGAGGTAGCATGGGCAGGGCCAACCAGGGGTGGGATTTGTCAGTTCGCCGAACCGGCCATAAAATTAGCTACCGGTTTGCCACCAGTTCACTAGAACCAGGGTGAACCAAATAGCAGCCCAGCCCTGCCTTAGTTCCTCATTGTGGTGGCTTCATCATGATTTGGAGAACGTGAATGGATGAAGGGAGGGCTTGGTCCACCAATTTCTGGCTCTTCCCAACTGAGGAGACACAAGGATAAGGAAGCTACTCCGTATTTTGAAGTAGCTTCCAGATTTATCAGAAGAAAGAGGTATATCCCAGATCTGAATGTATGAAATAGATTCTTGTCTGCCTCAATCAGACTTCCGTAATGTTTATGGAACAGAGAAGTTCTCCGACTTGAGAAGATCTGCAGCTCAGCTTGAATGATTGGGTTCTTGAGGTTCTCCAAACTTGGTTGTTTTCTTGCAGACGTCTCGTTACCACACTAGGTAACATCATGAGAGCGCGGGAAAGCCTATGAAACCGAGGTCCGTGATCCTTTAGCCTGATGGTTCTCTCCTCTACTTATTTTGCAGGGAATCTCTGCTGGTGATCCAGTACAACATCCGGGCTTTCATGGTGGTGAAGAACTGGCCCTGGATGAAGCTGTACTTCAAGATCAAACCTTTGCTGAAGAGCGCGGAGACAGAGAAAGAGTTGGTGGCTATGAAGGACGAGTTGGCCAAGTTGAAAGAGGCCTTGGAGAAGTCGGAAGCCCGTCGGAAGGAGCTGGAGGAGAAGATGGTGTCCTTACTGCAGGAGAAGAATGACCTACAGTTGCAAGTTCAGGCAGTAAGTAACTCCTCATGCCTAGGTTGGTCATGTTCAGTTAAGAACAATGTTGACTCCACATGACCATCAAAGCACTAAGGCAACGTTTCTCAACTTTAGCCACTTTGGTGGACTTCAACTCCCAGGATTCTCCAGCCAGCATAGAATTCCGCTCGTCTTAAAGTGGCCAAGGTTGAGAAATTCCATACTCAGGTGTGAGTCAATTGTCCATCTCTCTTTCTTCCCTCTTTAGGAGCAAGACAATCTTGCAGATGCTGAGGAACGTTGCGACCAGTTGATCAAGAACAAGATCCAATTGGAAGCCAAGGTGAAAGAGATGACCGAACGTCTTGAAGACGAAGAGGAGATGAACGCCGAACTGACTGCCAAGAAGCGGAAGCTGGAAGATGAATGTTCTGAACTCAAGAAAGATATTGATGACCTGGAGTTGACTTTGGCCAAGGTGGAGAAGGAGAAGCATGCCACGGAGAACAAGGTAAGAATGGATTTGACGTGGCATGGAATCTGAAATCTGTTAGGTAGCCAAGGGATATCAGAAATATTGGTTGGGGCCATCATTCATGGAAATATTGATCTTGGTGGGGAAGATGTGGAAGAAGAAGGAGGAGAGGAAGAGGAGGAATGTGGGGTCCTCGGTGCTCTCTGAGCTTGGTTCTTTTCCTTGTAGACGCTTCATTACCCAACTAGACAATTTCATCAGTGCTAGAAGGGAATGGGTTTGTGGAGAGGAGGAAGAGCTTGGTTATTTTCCTAATATTTTCTAAGCTTGCTTATTTTCCTCCAGACATTTCATGACCCAATTAGAGAACATCATCAGTGGTAGAAGGGAGGTAGCTTGCTCTCTTTATAAAGAGAGCAAACCCACCTCCCTTCTAGTGCTGATGATGTTACCTAGTTGGATCATGAAATGTCTGTGGGGAAAACAACCAAGCTTAGAGAGCACCAAAGATCCCACAATTAGGAATATCTGCAAGCGTGTGTGCACACACGTGCACAAATAGCTGCCCTACATCATGTTCGTCCATTAGTTGCCTGACACAGTATTATTTATTCCAGCTGATGAACAAAAGACACTTAACCAACTTTAACGCCTTGGATTTAAGCAGCAAAGTAACAAGGTTTCCTTCTTCCTTAAAGAGTTGTGGATTGTGAGAAACACAATCCACTGATCTGAAACCTCCACTGTTAGATGTGACTTGGGTAACTAAGTCGCCAGATCTTCAGGGGTCCGCCAAGGTTTGAATTTTGATAGCTACAGGCAGCTGATGACAGCTTACTGTCAGGATTCCAGAGATCGCCCTAATTAAATCATGAACCTCGAGCCAAACTTCAAAAAACGTCAAAGGATTTATTAAGAGCAGCATACTGTTATGACCTGTATGAAGCCTACTCTGAGATATGTAATTTATAATCACCTTTGACCCTGTTTCCCCCCACCCCTCTGGATTTATCAAAATTCAGATTGTCCAACAGAAACGTTCATGGCTCGGTGTCATCAATCATGCTCTCCAATAGAGGATTTTTGGGCCCAGAATAGCCGGTAGCCACAGTTACAATCTTTGTGAGATAAGCTTGGAATGTGCTTCTGAGTTCATTTCCCGTATGCTCCTTCAGGGTTTTTCCTCACCCCTCTTCTTTCTTATGGCAACTTGGAAACCTGCATAGGAATGTTTTACAAGTTGACCCTATATTATGATGTGACCACAGGTGAAGAACCTCACCGAAGAAATGGCTGGTTTGGATGAGATCATCGTCAAGCTAACCAAAGAGAAGAAGGCTCTTCAAGAGGCCCACCAGCAAGCTCTGGATGACCTTCAAGCTGAAGAAGACAAGGTCAACACGTTGACCAAAGCCAAGGTCAAACTGGAACAACAGGTGGATGATGTAAGTACACCAGACATGGGGTGCCAGAAATTTTGCCTGTTTCATGTTTTCCTGGAGAAAATTTCCTGGTGAGAGGATGCTAGAACGTAGAACATAGAACCACGGGGCTGGAAGGCTCGTCAAAGTTCTTCTAGTCCAATCCCTACAGAATTGACCTAGCTGATTTGGTTTTTCTTTGCCTGACAGCTGGAAGGCTCCTTGGAACAGGAGAAGAAGATCCGCATGGACCTTGAGAGGGCCAAGAGGAAGCTGGAAGGAGACTTGAAGTTGGCCCAAGAAAGCATCATGGATTTGGAGAACGACAAGCAACAACTTGATGAAAAGCTGAAAAAGTAGGTGCCTCATCCTTCTAATACCTAGTTATGGAGGTGCACGCTGCTGTCCACCTCTTTACCGCTGGATCCAACCTGGTTCTCCTTCCTGATCCACAGGAAAGATTTTGAGTTGAGTGCCTTGAATGCTAGAATCGAAGATGAGCAATCCTTAGCTGCCCAGTTACAGAAGAAACTCAAAGAGTTACAGGTACAAAGTCCAATTCTACGTTGGTGTGGTTTCTCAAAAAAAACCAAAAAAAGATCCAGATCAAAACTAGAAAACAGCATTTGTTGGACATGGTCTAGAATGTCCAACATGGTGTCTTTCCACAAGTACCAACATTCTCCCTGGTACCACTCTTGGTTTCACTAATCAATAGCCATGATACAAAATCCATAATGTTCTCATGGACTGAAATAGTTGAGAACATCGAATCTAGTTGGGTTCTACCTAAATCATTGGTCCTCCCAAGACATTTTTTTTGTGTGTTTCCAATGTCTTTCTCTAGAAACTTTTAGGATCTTGGGGTTGTGTTTGGCCATCTGGAGATGTCAGATTAATTAGGAATCTAAATTAGTTCAGATTAAGTCCACTTTTCGACCCATTCATGGCAGTGGTGCTATTCAGTTTTTTTTACTACTGGTTCTGTGGGTGTGGCTTAGTGGGCGTGATTTGGTGGGCATGGCAGGGGAAGGATACTGCAAAGTCCATCCCTCTCCACCTGACTAACCTGCTTTCCAGCTCCGTTCTCCTGGGTAGGGCAACAAAAGAAGACCGAGCCGATCAGCTTGGATTCAGGAAGCGGAGAATAGATGGGGGCAGGGCCAGTTAGAGGTGGTATTTGCCAGTTCCCCAAACTACTCAAAATTTCCGCTACCGGTTCTCCAGAACCGGCCCAAACTGGCTGAATGCCACCTCTGATTCGTGGCCTTCTTCTCCCTGACACAGGCACGGATCGAGGAACTGGAGGAAGAATTAGAAGCGGAGCGCACAGCCCGCGCCAAGGTGGAAAAACAGCGCTCGGACCTTTCACGAGAGCTGGAAGAGATCAGCGAGCGCCTGGAGGAGGCTGGAGGGGCCACCTCGGTGCAGATTGAGCTGAACAAGAAGCGCGAGGCCGAGTTCCAGAAGATGCGACGCGACTTGGAAGAGGCCACGCTGCAGCACGAGGCCACGGCGGCCACCTTGCGCAAGAAGCACGCGGATTCCGTGGCGGAGCTGGGCGAGCAGATCGACAACCTGCAGCGGGTGAAGCAGAAGCTAGAGAAGGAGAAGAGCGAGCTGAAGCTAGAAGTAGACGACATGGCTTCCAACATGGAGCAGCTCTTGAAGGCCAAGGTCCGACCTTAATGAAGAGATGGTGGGACCCTCATTGGAGCCGCCCCTTAGAAGTGGGTGGGTGGGTGAAATCCAGATTTGTGGACGAGGTTGGGCTCCCCAAGTTTGGGATGGGTGGATCAGGACTCACAGTAACAATTAATTTGGAAAGGGGGAAGGGCCCAAAAGATGAGGAGAACATGAATTGTTCCTACATCTGAATGGGATCTTCTTCTCAATTTTTTGGTTCTTAACCATTTGAACTTTATTCAGCCTTCCTTCTGTTTTCTATTTCCTTGAATTTGTGATTTCATTGTACTTCATTTATTTTTTTATATGTCATGGCATGTCATGGTGGTAACTTCCATCATCCTCAACCAGCACACCATGTTTGCAATGACGATAGGATATGTCAAGACAAAAAGATTTGTTTTTCCATCCACCCGTCCATCCATCCATCCATCCATCCTTCTTTCCTTCCTTCCTTCCTTCCTTCCTTCCTTCCTTCCTTCCTTCCTTC